TTTTCTGTTTTGCATTGTGTACCAGGTGGTCTAGAGGAATAATTAAACTTATTAGAAGTATTAACAGGTAAAGTACTGAAATGGGTACAACTTAAGGAAAACAAGAATGTTGTCTTCTAACTCTGACATTATACCTTGTTTGTACCCGCCAGCGGGAACTTCATTGCAGGCCGTGTGTCACCCTGACCACGTCTATCTCTGGGGTCGCACGTTGCAGGCAGAGCGCAAGGCATACACCAGAAAACGCTGTCCTGTGGTATGGTCTCTTCCAACTTCATGTACCAGCGTAAAGATTAAAGTGGAAAACTTCAGACTTTGGCTTCTTTTTTTAATCTTTTTGGAGATTAAGTGTCTTAACTTAAATGGTTTTTTACAGGAGTTAAAGTACATAAATGCCTTTACAGCTTAATCATTTGGTCTTCTGTTTAGTGTTGTATTTCAATTGTGGAACCTCATTTTAAGTGTGCATTCTTTAAGATTTAATGCTTGCTTTTTTCTTTTTATAGCTAATAGTGAAATCTGCAAACAAAAACGAACTTTTAAATCTGCAAAAACATTAAAGATCATATGCAGGTGGACTGTTTGAACTAAATCAACATGACTTGTGCTTGCACAGAGTGTCATTTAGATGGATTATCAAATAATCGGAAACCTTTTTAACCTTTTTAGCAGTGTTTCCAGTGGGGGGAAAAAAAACTTGATCCAGAGCCTGATTAACAGTGTAAATCAGTTGTGTGTTCTGGAACAGCTTCCTAAATGGGCTGAATGGCTGTATTTGGGAAGATAAATTACTGATGGGTAACAAAACATCTTGTGTTACCTTAATAAATATGCATGTGATCTTTAACAGTGAAGAAAGGAATATATAGAAGACTTAAAGCAGTTCATGAAAATGGACCTTTTAACGATTCTTGTGGTAACTTGCACAGATCTGACATACATTTTGTCTTGATTTTTAGGTAGAGATACTGCAACAAAGCCATTTTGCAGCGCATCATGAGTGAATGGAGGGTGGTCTTCGTGAGAGGAAATGACTATTTTGTAAAGACTTCTAGTGTACAACACAACTGTGTCCAACTGTACATAGCATCCAACTAGTTTTCTTCTATAGTTTTTACTTTTTTTGCCATTCATCTTATGACACAATGTGGACTTGTGTTTATACAAACTTTATTTGTATAATTTCATGTTAAAGGATTCTCTAATAAATGCTTACTTAAGTGAATGTGTAGTGTTGCTGTTGGCTGTCAGCTTAACAGTGGTGTAACTATACTTGTATAAAATGGTAGGTACTTTTCTGGAGATCATAAATGGCTCAAGACAAGTTTATTGTGTATACAGCTCACTACACCCCACTCGTCCTGATTTGTCTTGAGAGCACTATAGTGCCTTGAGTTAGCATCACTGTGGAAGACAGCAGAGCTGTCTCATGCTAGGTGCAGAAAAGAGGACAGTGGTCTCGTACCAGATGGCCAATTTCCTATCTCTTATGGGAGGGATCTAGAACTACAGCAGCACCTCTTTCATGCTGATAGCTTAGTGCTGGTTGAGGGGCTGAAGGGTGAGACCTGTATCACCTTTCACAGTTTTTCTAAGCATTTAGGCTCTACACTACTCAGTGCTATAACTTAATTTCCTAGAGCAATTGCTCCCTGTCTATTCCAGTCCCAAGCAGGAGATTACAAATTCCTGAATGTCAGGGTCAGCAGCTCATTTCTGTACTAGTTGGGGTCTATTCCTTTAAGTTAAATCCTGTACTGGACTTAACTAGATAAGAAAACAGGTTTGCCATCTTGTGTACGCTAGCAAGCAACAAAAGCCTGAACTGCCAGAGAAGGGGAATTGCTTTAGCCAGCAGCTCCTTTTCTGAACAGGAGGAACAGCTGGTATGGGTAAGTGAGCATACACATTGTGCTTGAGGCCGAGGGATTGAAGTAGTCTGCCTTAGGTTGTATTCTCAGCACAAATATCTAGTCATGCATCAAAAATAAACCTTGCTTGTTAGAAAAGTGAAATGTGAGTTGCTGATTCACAGGGGAGACTGATCTTTCAAACTTTCAAAAGGAGTAGTCTGGGTAGAGGTTTCTCTAAAACTTTCCAAACCATAATTTCAGTGTTTATTTCTCTCTCCAGCAGCTGGGTATTTTAATTCTCTTCCTGTCATACAGAAGAGCTGCATACCGTTAACTGCTATGGGTTAAGCAGTTGCTAGACCTGAGGTTCCTGTGATCTTAGCGATTAGGTTGGATGAGAGAACACTCGCTGATACCGCTGGCTACAAACTAGAGAAAACGGCACACGGCTGCTGGGAGAAGTCACGGTGGTATGTGACTCCGTGTTCTCTGTGTCTCTTCTCCGAAGAGCACCGGAAGGCAGAAGCTGTCCTTACCAGCAGTGCCTCCGGGTGGCACCTTTTTCTATTTTTTGGTAAAAGATTCATTTCGGTACCTCCGGACACCAGATGCTCCAAGGGGGTGTCCACAGGCTGCAAGGTGCCCAGGAGCTCAGGCGGCCCTGCAGGCTCCGGTCCCGCGTCGGGCAGGGGCCGCCGCTCGCCCCGTGCTCTCCTCTTGCAGCGGCCGTACGAAAAAGCCTAGAAGCGCTGCGGTTGGCGACGCTCACGCACAACGGCCCCCAACCGACGGCTCCAGTGGCCCTGGGGACGGCGCACACCCCCGCGCCGTCTCCCCGGGAGGCTGTGTCACGTGATCGCGCCCGCCGCACTCCTTCCGTCCGCCATTTTAGGCTGGGGTGGTG